TCTTCATCTTGAGGAAGAGGTAGACGGCCTGCGGCGTCACGCGGATGTTGTCCAGCTCCAGGACCTTCTTGATCTTGCGGAAGCTCAGCCCGGCTTTGCGCAGCTCCACGATCCTCTTCTTGGCGTGCTCGTCCAGGCGGCCCATGGCTGCCCGCGCCCTGCTGGCCCTTCCCTACATCCCAGCCGGCCACGCGGCTGGCGGCAAAGAGCCGGGGACACTACACGCCACAGGCAGCGGCCACCCTTGCCCGCGGTGCTCCTGCTCCGCTACTGCTTGGTCCCCCAGCCACTGGTGGCAGCTGTGGCTGCACAGGGGACCAGGACGAGCTCTGAGCAGTGACAAGGCTCCGCCACACACCAAGGCGCAGGGTGGGAAGGAGGATTGTTGGGATAGGAAGCAATTGGGATGGCCAGGAAACACATCCCTCACTCCAGCAGGAGCTTCCCAGGGATTGCCCAGGAACGGAAAGTCTGGCCAAGACACAGGGGCACAGAATGCAGGAACAAGCTCTGTCCTACCCAATGTCCCAAACCAGGTATCAATCCCCCGCTGCTGTCAGTGCATCAGTGATGGATAGAGAAGGAGAGCTGGGCCAGAGCAGGCCTCAGATGATGGGGTCCTGCTTCTCCTCTGGCAAACAGCAGATGGTTTGCTGGAGGAAGGAAAGTATACTCCAAGTCCACTCAGAAAACACTTTTGAGCTCCTCTAGAAGTTGCTGTTGTTAAAAACTCTTTGCGTGACTACAAAACATTTGTAAACGCAATCGGCCAAGGCAGCCAGGTCCCATCATTTCAGGTGAGGGCTGCCGCTCCCTCGGATGTGAACATCAACTGTTCCCCCTTTTGCTGTGATAAGGAAGAGAATATTGTGTGTACACCAAGGACCAGGACGGCTGACTCACTCACTGCTGCTTTGCAGGCTGCTACTTCCAGGGGCTGCTTAGGCAGTGAGCAAAGAGCAGCTGCCTCCTCTTGTTTCCAGACTGGGAGCGCTGCAGATCCTGCTGTGTGCACAGGCCGCCTCTCATTTGCGTTCCGTCGTGCTCGTGCCCAAAGCAGACGTGTCCTGCAGTGCCCAAGCAGCCACACTGGGATCCAGAGCAGCAGGAGGCTCTGCTCAGGAGCTCAGAGCATGTTCAGGGAAACAGCAGCAGTCCATGGTGCCAGGCTGGCAGCAGGCAGGGCCTCCTCGGAGCTTCCCCTCTCTTTGGTGGCCTGTAACATTGGCAGAAGCAGGGACTCCAGCTCCGCAGGCTGCTCCGGGAAACAGTCAGCGCCTTCAAGCCTCTTTGAGGCTGCAGACTGCGCTGTCCCCTACCTCTGAAACAAGAAAAAGCAAAGTTATATCCTGGTTGAACCAGGCCAACAGAGAGGCAACTCCTGCCCTTCCCTCGCGCTCGCCCCTTCCCTCCCCTCTGCACTCCGCTTGCTCCACCGCTGCCCTCGCGCACATAACGACACCCAAAGGGCTGCCAGAGCCACGGGCACCCCGAAGCACCTCCCAGGAAAGAAGCCCCCTTCCTTGTCCTCTGTCCTTGGCCCACAGAAAAGCCGGGGATCCACAAAGTCAAAGAGCAAAGCAAGCTGGGGAGGAGAAGAGGGCTCCAGGGCCACCGGGAAAGCCAAGGTCAGGCTTTCACTTCCCCAAGCACAGGCTGCCCTCAAAGAAGGCAAGAGCACCCAGCAAGAAGGCACAGAGATTATTGCAGATCACCACAGAGAGCCACCAGGAGAAATGCAGCCACTTCGTGGCCTTTTGTATTTTATTTCTTCTGCAGTAAGAGAGCAAGAGGAATTCACTCGAGCGATGTAGACCGTGCTTTGATGCAGAGCTGTGGACACGTAGAGGTCACCCCACACCCTGTGACGAGCACCAGCAATCACGGGGCGAGAGCTGGGGAGCAGGCACGGGAAAATAGCAATGGCCCTGGCTGCAGGTGCAGCTATCACAGAGCAACAGAAACACCCCAATTTCTCCAATCCCAGGGGCTCTCCTGCAGGAGAGGAGAGAAGGGACAGCAGGGAAGCGCTGTGAGGTCAGAGCACGGCGCTCCCGCCACCACGGAGGCCTCCAGCTCCGTTTGAGCCTTTGCTCCTGCTTGCAAAGTCCCGGGTTTCCCGTGTTAAACCCTGCCCATTCCCAAATCTGCGTCCACGGCCCTCTCCTCTTTCTCCCTCTGCAGAGGGGCTCTCGGGGGGGAGCTGCAGCCTGCACGGTCCATGTGGTTGGGCAACGCAGCTGCTCTGGTTACACATTCACGGAGAAGAGACCTTTACGCTCACCCATCCTGCCAGAGGCTGCTTAGGCTCTGATGAATTTTATATATCCTTCCCCTCCGCTTCCCCCCCCAAAAAAAAAAATCAAACCAATTGTAGGGAC